AAACACAAATTTATGCCCCAAAAAGCAAACTACTCTACACAATCATCACGAATTTACTTCAAAAGGAGAAAGATATTAAGGTGCAAAGTACCTCAAATAGGTACAGCTTCAAACTCAGACAAGGTGGGTGGCTGAACATGTGAGAATCTTGATGAAACAAACTCTCTAGAGGAGAACAACTATGGGTAAATAATTTCATTGCCAAAACCATTGCTTCAGAAGATTAAAAAACATTCAGGGGTGCTCCCAAAGGACCAAAAAACCCCCAAAAATCCCAACCAACACCCCCAAAAGTAGCTTAAATTTACTGCCAACTAATTGTACAACAGCAAAGTTAAGTGAGGAGGATATGCATGAAAATTAAAAGTTGGTATCTGAAATGTTTTAGCCACAACTATTCCAAGACAAAAATAAGGAAATGCAAAGTGAAAATAAAACTCCAGAATAGCGGGGGTTTAAACTCCCCTACTTCAGGCAATATATTCTTTGACAAGAGAAATCTTCATGGCTGAATTCAAGTAAAAACTAGTTAAATATTTCAGCAGGCAGTATAAGTCACCCTACCTTGAATAAACGAGCATTAAAATGTTTTAATTTGCCAGCTGCTGAGTTATAACAATGTAAGTTATCACTGAATGTAACCTGCCTGGTAACTAAAAGCAGCTATCAAATATTAGAAAAGACACATATAAAAACCTCCAAATAAACCCACTGGGGTAATTTCCAAAACTTTCTCTCCTTCAAACAAAACTAAGCACCTTAAAAGTTCCTCAAATACAACAGATAAGTCAAAAGAAAGCTGCCAGGAAAGTCAGTTCAGGAGACATAATTCAGAAATACCTCTGAAAACTGATGAATCTATCTAATTAATTCCCCATTAGCAGGAAATTCTACACTTCAATAAGCTCAAGAAATTGCTGCCAGTATACAGGATAGTAACTGGGTTAAGTTCAAAGAAGCACACTGAATTGAAAACGGACTTTTAACCAGGTGTATCAGGAATCCAGGTTCCACCTGTGCCATTGTCAAGAACAGCGCTGCACTGCTCCAAGAAAACACCTATTGAAAAGAAACTTTGATTCACTAAGGAGAAAGTTACCCCTTTTTTTCCTGTTATGAAGAATTTCTAAAAACAAATTATGAAGTTGCCTTTTTCTTTTGGGGTCTTTGGGGTTTTGATGTTCGATTCTCACTCCATTCACTGATAAGAGGACCAGCACAAAAGCCTGTCTTGCACCAGACTATTAACACTATCATTCCAGGAAGGAAATCAATTTGTACAGTTGTTATCTTTTATCCTGAGTCAGGGCAGTGGTATGGAACAGTTACTACACAAGATGTAAAGCTGATTAAAAACTTTAACTGTGGTTTGTGATCTGTTCAAATTAATTTCCATTTCCAAAATTGTATGGTGTGACTAGCAGCAGCCTGTGCGAGGATCCAGGGCACTGGGTAATTCCAACCCTTTTTCCAGGGGTAAAGCCATAAAAACAATCAAGGACAACATGTCAGGTCACCTGAAAACCTGCTGTATCCTCAGCATGGTCCTCCTTTTCACAGTAAAGTGGCAGAGCTCACGAGGAATCACTGCCATCTCCTACATCCAGTGCCCACCCTCTCCTCAGATGGTAAAAGCTTTGTGATCTTTGACCAAGGAAAGAGCCTGACAGAAAGCCTGTAAAGTCAAGCAGACTGAACATTTCAGCAAAAATTCTTCACTTCATTAACTCCAAGGTGCAAAGTCACACCTTTACTGGACAAAATTACTGACTAAGTGTCTCTTGCAACATTTGTAATCCCCTGGCAGAGTTCAGCCCTATACCTGTTCTCTCTTTACCCATTTCTCTAAAAGCTATCAGATCCCTCAATACATCCACATAAGCTCAAGTGAAGAAAATAGTGGAAAATTTCTGCTAACTCAGGCAACATATGGTCGGCTAGCAATATAGAACCATTAGCAACAGCCTTACACTGGGGGGGACACACACGCATGAAAAAAAGGGAAAAGAGTCCACTAGTATTCAGCTAATCAGCTAACTTGTTTGTCGGAGTGAGAGAGGATCAGAATCTTGGCAGACAATACCTTGATGTAAAAAGAAAGTGTTACACCCCAAAAACCTATTAGTGAATACATCCCAGTTTCTACATGCAACGAGATGCTGCATCGTTTCATGTATCTGGTTATTTTGGTCAGCCCAATAATAACCCAATTAACTGTACCGTGTTGTGTAAGATCTAAGCATCACCAAATTTCTGATCATACTGCTAAAGGTCATGCCTATTTTGTTATCACAAATGTATTCCCAGGGAAAAGTGCTAGAGGAGCAAACAGTTATTTTTAGATAAAGTTATGAGACAATCATTATAGAAACTCTTCAACAATTTCTGACATCATGAATGCTGCCTGTCAGGACAATAGGTCTGAGCATTTCTGCCACTTTCTCAGTTAGAGGCTTTATTTTTTTATTTTCAAATGCATCCTGCTACTGAAGTAGAACAAATGTGATTTATTTTTTATTAAAATAATTTATAGAATTACTTAAGGAATATTTAACAAAACCTATTTTTATTTCCAGACCTATTTGCCTGAATTTTCTGAATGCCAGTATTTTCTTGAAGAAATATACATTACTGAAAAGATTATACACTTCAAGCAGTACAGGTATATGCGGATTACAGACTGAATTTAGTCCTTGAATCTAACGCTATGGTTTTACCATGCAGTTTTTCCTTCAGCAAAAGAACATGAAGGGTAAAGTCTTAACCCCATTAAATGTCAGGGCAAAGCTTCCACGTACTGTAATGAGACTGGGATTTCACCCAAGGTGTTAAACTGTGGTTTGGGAAAGCGAATAAAAATACATCCATTATTGTAACAAGTACTTACCTGCTAGCCAGACTGAGCAACTCATGTCTATCGGCTACTGCAGATTTCTTTTCCAGTTCCCACAACATCACATTGATCAGGTATGAATTCTTAATTACAATGGGCACTTCTTCAAACATATTTTCATAAGCAATATTTGCTTTTTTCAAGCTGTGAAAAAAAGTTAAAAAATATTTATCAATATAATCAGTAACTCTCTTGTTCTCTTTGTTGAATTGTTGCTCCAACAACAATAGGTAATTTTGTAAAATCTCTTCATTTTCATTGTTCCACAATCAAACAAGAGTCGAGTTTTGGTAAGAGAGCATTTGCATGGCAAAACCTCACGTTTACAAAGACTAGGAAAAGCTGTTCTAGGAAAAAACTCTCAGAAGTCAAGCAGCAGCTTTGCTTGCTAATACATTACTTACATGAAAAAGCCTCCAGCAAAAGACTGTACTGACAGGATTAACTCTGCCCCTTCCAAAATATTTTACCGATTTCCCTGCCATCAGGGTTTCTTAAACAGAAGTTAACAGTTTGTTTCCACAGGACACTGAAATACCTGTAAAATCATAACTACTACAATGAAAAACAATTTCCCCAATAGCTGAAGAATTAAAATTTTTACTGACCAAAAACTAGACTGACAAAACAGTGTGTGTTTTGGAATAATTAGATTCCATGGTGGATATTAAAATATAAATTTCCAGTATTTTTTTTTTTTTACAATGTACATATAAAAACTATTGTTATTGCTTTATTATAAAGTAGATACCTCTCTTAAAATCTGGAAATAAATGCATGGTCTATAAGTTTCTCAGGAAATATATCTTTAACTACCTTTTTTTTTTTTTTGCGTAAGCACAGATTTGTTTGTTCATCATGGAAATGTTATGTTTAGAGACCGAGCAATGAAATGATTTTGGTTTTCCTCATAGAAGAAAGTTTAACAAGTGCTTGTGCTTTTGCTGTTGAACACCAAACTGTTTGAGGAAAAAGAGGACGGCTAAGGCCTACATCTATTACAAGCCACTAATCTTTTGAAACAAATTAATTATCCTACTTTACTCCAGAAGATTGTGTCCACACGGGGGAGTTAATTTAGAATAAATACAGAAGAACAGCTATTCCAGAATACCTGTTCAATTTTCCTTCTGGAAAAAAAAAGAACTTAAAGACAGACCAGCTATTTCCCCTTTTCCATTTCTTTTTTCCGTATTTTTGACTGTGTCCCCAGATACAGCTATCTTCACCATGGTCCTTACAGCCAGCCCGCTGACCATCTCCAAAATCAGTTCAGGTTCCGCCACTTCAGCCCTTATGTAGACGCCCAAAGACAGACTTTTCATGCCTTCTCAGCGCACATCTATTGCTACCCATACATATCCAGTTTCCCCAGCACACACATAAGATTTTTAAAATACAGTATTTCATCATCCCATGTACGCTTCTGCCTCCTAGATAATCCAGAAAAACCTAGGAGAAAATATTCTTTTAAGTTACTTACGCTTCTGGAGAAAAGTCCTTTTCTTTGCAAACTTCCATCAGTTTGGGAGTCAGCCTATATGCCTTTAGTGACAAAGACCCTTGGGCAGTCTTAATGGGATCTATAATTAAAAATGGAGGAAGCGTATTACTACTAACCTCAGACTGCTTTTTTTAAAAAAAAAAAAAAATATCTGAATGACATAAACAGGAGTAAAATAACTAAGTAGTCCTGAAAAAAAAATAAGACAGCCAACTCAGAAAAGGCACTATAGCAGAAGTAAACCGATTGTACTGAAATGTAAAATATATCCAACTATATACAGTGGGGCTAATTTATAAATTTAACTTGGAGAACATGGGGGGGGGAATCTAGACCCATTCTACTCACAACATTATTTCCCCATTAAAGGTCTAATTCACATTTTCTTTTCTTCCATATGAACTATCCACAGAATTTATGTAAGAGCTACCTCATTTAAATAAAGATTTTTCCCTCCAGTCATTATGCAGTAAATTAAAATATTCATTAAACTACATTTTATACCCAAAAAAAAAGTCATTTTGAGTAGCAATAAGCTAATTCAGATCAAGTTGCCCTGCTGCTTCGTGCATAACAATGTAACTGGTACATGAAAAGATTAGTTTTGCCTTGACATACTCTGCTGAATTTAGGGGGAAATTTTCTAAACAAACTGTTACATTCCTTGGACAAAGAAGCTTAACACTTGCAGCATGATAACGGCTGAAGCATGCCAACATGAGAATAAAAGTTGTGTTAACATTCATGTTGTCTGAAATTTAACACAGTAAAACTTTTAGCAATCGGTGATAAAATGAAAACCAAAATAGACTGAAACAAGTGGAAAATTCATCAAGGTCTGATGATGCAATGTTTCCAGCCAATATAAGTATACTTTAACAACTTGTTCTTTACTGTAATCCAATTGTTAACATACTGAAACAATTTTGGGGCAGCTCATAAGATTGATCGTATTCATTAGTATTTTTTCTGACAGATACTCAGGACGTTACATTTACTTCTCAGCTGGAAACTATATGCAAGTCTGCCAGATATGGCAAACTGTGAGTGTTTGGGGAGGGGGAGGCTATAAAGCTGTTAAATTGCCTACGGTTCTGATACAGCACAGAACATCTGGTCTGGAGAGCTTGAGGAAACACCATTAAATAGGCAGAAAAGAAAAAAATCTTTGTGCTAAGAAACAGTCCAGGTTTTGTATGCTTCTGTCAGAGGTATAAAAAAAACTTGGCAATTCGTGAGATGATTGGTCAGTCACGTACAGAGCCAGACACGCTAGCAAGCGGGGTTTGTTAGACATCTGGTCGGGTTCCACTAGCCCCTTCGACGAGGGAGGGGAGATGAAGGAATAAAAATGAAGCAGCTACTCCAGCATTCCAAAACGTACACATCAGGGCTCTGATAGCAAGAAAAATAAACAGAAAGAAGGAAACCCTGTCTAGACTTAGCTGCTGCTGAGGCTGCCGTAGACACAGGGTTGGTATTTACTCGAAAAGGCCTGCCAGGCTACTCTTACAGGCAAAAGACAGAATACAAAAATAGTAGTAATAATATTAAGAGGGGAAAAGAATAATAAAGGAAACCTCATACTAACCGTAAATGAGAACTACAGACTCCTCAATTGCGTGCTGGTAACTGAACTGCGAGTCCAGGAGGGCACGAGTGACAAAAGAGCCATAGTATGTGGACTGGTACCAGCCAACGTGAAGATGATCAATGTTTACATGGCGAAGGCTTCGCATCATTTCCATCTGGTATTGAACTAGATTAAATAAGAAGTACATTTAAAAAGTAAAATTACATAATCTGTACTATTTCAGGAGAGTGCTTGGTATTAAAGTGAGTAAACTATATTTTATTTTGTTTTCACTTTTGCAACTGCGTAGTTTGTTTATGCACTGCTGGACTGTCTTCATTAAAATCCAGAGCTTCCTCAGAGAATGAGAGTAAGACTAGCCTGAGTAAGCAGACTTTTTTCAGCTGCAGTTAATTGCTAAAGTGATCAACAAACTGTTACATGTCATTTACAGTGTGTATTACCTTGCTCATTTACAAAAAAAAACCCTGATACTGGGTTTCACTAAGCAGCAACAATTTACCATTTAGTAACATCGAAATACTGTGATTTAAGTGAAAATACTGTCAGGAATTAGATAGCTATTGGAATCAAAAGAAGAATTACTTAATGAGTGTATGAAATAGAAGATAACCTATTATGCCTTTTTCACAACATAAAACTAGACTTTCAGTATTAGAGTTTGGGGGACCAGCTATAGGTGTCAAATAGTTTTGACTGCATTTATCTTCAAATTTTCAACAGGGTTGGTTTTTTTTTTTAAGATGTATATAAATGTATACATATTTTATACATAATAACATATTTATATACAGTAAGTTACCTTAGACAGTGGAGAACACGTATTGTCATTTTTTACACCAACAGCTGTAATGTTTCATCGTACCAACAAATAAACTGTGTTTCTACTAAACGCTTTATTCAAGGGGATTGCCTTGATGGAACAGAATTGTATTCAGGAATGTTTAACATAATCCCATCAAGCAGATCAACACACCTTATCACTTATCAGACCTTTTAAACAGACAGACACTGTCCTGCTGGTTAAATTTAAGGAAAAAGATATTTCAGTGAGATTATCAGATGAACCAATGCCCACAGCCAACTGATAGGAAATCAAATGCAACAATACTACAGAACCTTTTAAGTTTTGTCTGCAGCTGCAAAATTTACAAAGATAACCTCCTCCTACGCATTTATTTTTGTTTATTTTTTTCAAGGCTTCTCCCTATGCAGACGAAAATACGATATTCATTATAAAAGAAAGCAACAAATTAATTAGAGAACAGAATGTGCTACATTTTCAGACCCACTTCATACCCTTGCAAGAGAAAAAGAAAATCCAACCATATTCTTTAAAGATATGCGGAGACATTTTTTAAGATTGGACAAATATTTTTCCAACTTATCACCCTTACAGCACAAACTACATTCTGCAGTCCGCTGGCCCTTTTCATTAAACTGTCATATCTTACTAGCTGCATTTTTAAAGTAATCTATGTATACTTATACAAACCCTTGCAGACTTTTTCCATCAGCATATGTTGGTGCTTGCATTCTACTTCATAGTATCTTAGTACAAATGACTTGCAATTTGCGTTTCAGCCAGAACACCACGATAATACAGCACCCCAAAACTAATACAGCAAAATCATCCAGGCTACAGTCTGAAATCCCGTAATACAGGGCAAGCAAAGAAAGGCCTGCACCACTTGGCTGTCTCTAAACCAAGGCGCATCTAAAGATGCCACTACACGCTCCAGGACAGACAGCTAAGTAGAACAGATCAACCAACCATTTCAAGTCAGTTTGAAAATCTTTCCCCTTGCCAGATAAAAATAAATTTCAATCCCACTTTCATTGCACAATTGCAGAAATACCAGCCAGTTTCAAGCACACTCCTTACACAGCAGCCCTCATGCTTTAGCAGGTAGCATCTCCAGCCAAGATCCAGCTTGTCAAAGAAACTCAGTCCTTAAACTTAAAGGTTTTGTTGGGGTTTTCTGGGGGGAAGATGTTAACTTTCCAAATTTTACACTTAAAAGAATACATATCTCCCCCAGAACAAACGAAAAGATTCCTGCAAAAAAATGTGACCACGATTTTGAATTGAAAAAGCATGTAATCCATTTATTAAATGTAGCTAGAATAAACTATTTTGGTTAAAAGAAGCTTTTCAAAGATATATCTGTGTGGAAAGCAAGTGAGACTTGCTTTTGACAAGATGTGCTATAACATGCTAAGATGCGAAATTATGGTTAGATCCTTTCTAGCCGAATGAACTCATGAAAAGGAAAACCTAGAAAGGGGTTTTCGAAAGCAGATGAAAGAAAGAAAATACTTTTTTGAGAATGAAGTTAACTGGTAGAGGCGGTCATGCAATGATGGGAAGACACTTCTACACACATTCCTACGAAATCGTGTGTTTCAGAAAACTTGTCCTTTAAGAGGTATAATGTTAAAGAGAGGGAATACCCTACAAAAACATACAGATCTTTTACAAACCTGAACAAAGTTATATTATGCTCTTAAAAACATTCATCTGAGAGGTAGCTGGTAACCAAGTCCCAGGACAACTTCTTTTCTTAGACACGGTATAGCCAGCAATATGTAACTGAACATAAGTGTAAGTGATACCGTCTAGAAGAAGGAGGGCTCACTGAAAACTATCCAAATTTCAAGTCAGCAATTCCTCCTCTCATGACTGTTAGCAGTTAGATGATAATGAAGGCAATAGCAGAAAAATCTCAAAGAACCAATAAAGCATCACTAGCTAACATCTCTGCCTTGGGAAAACAACTGCAGAAATTAAAACATGATGGAGTCCCCACCAGGGAGAAATGGAAACTCTTTTAACCAAACATATATATTTTATAACATGTATTAGTAGCTAGATAGCTCCAACAAGCTGCCAGCTTGCACAAATGGATAACAGCCCCCAAGTTGCTTTTGTTGATATCACTACCACTGTTTCTTTACATCTTCTGCCCAATCTTCTTTTTACCTAGAAGTTTAGCACAGACTAGGCAAGAGCCATCTCCTCCTACCCAGTCCTCAGTCTGTTAGGACTTGGGATGGTCATGCACTTCTAACGAGGAGGTCACCATTTCAAGTCATAATCCTTCCCAAGCCGTGCTGCAAAGGTGCCACTAAAAAGTCTGAGGGTGCCTAGAACTGAGGCGAGCAAAGAACAGAACAGGCGAACAGCCAGACCAGAATGCTTCCACCCTCTCCTTCACACATAAAACAGTGTACCTATATTTTAAAGCAAATTATTTGCTCAGGAAGGTCCTTATGGTGAGGAACAGTCATTCTTGCACTTCTCAGTGTGCTTCCTGCATCGATAACACACAGCCTCTGTCTCCTGAGCACCTCTCTGGGGTGGATTTTTTTAAACAGAAGATTCTCTCTTTTTTTGATAGTTTGCAAACAAATCAGGGATGGTGGTGTGGTGTTTAATGCAGCTAGAAAGCATTACTATCTAAATCTAAAGCAGAAAAAGTGCAAAACTACACGGTATGGGTGTTTTGCTTGAATACGACAGATTCATGTTAATCTGTACTAACAAAATCCTTTGACTGAAACCAGTAAACTTGATTACAATAGCTCGGTGGGTACTTTTTCCCCCCCTAGATTCAACTACGTTTTAACAAACTCGTTGTAAAAGATTTAAGAAAATACTAAAACAATGTAAACACTTTTTCCATTTCTGAAAAGTACTGGCAACATTAGAAACTTTATCTGGGCTTTTGCATTTAGGAGGTATATACCTTCCCTCACCAATAAGAAAGTAACACACCCAAAATTATATAATAAATCAGACACAAGGCCAAAAACCAAACACTAATGTGATGACCCGTTCAACACTGGGACAACTCAGCTACGTTCTCTAAACACCTTAAAATATCCTCAGTCAGTAACTTCACTATTTGAAAGTCTAATTTAAGACTAGGTCAAATCAACTCAGGCATTGGGGGGGAAGGTCCATGTGATGTTTGTAAACTCTGGTGTCTTAGATTTGTTTGCATTTTAAAATCAACTGGCAAATTTACACCCTTCTGGAAATAACAGCTTATTTCTAAAACACTCCCAAAACAAGTGTTCTTGTAGCAACCCAATGCATGACACAAGTTTATTTACCGCTAAAACTGTACTATTTTTCTTTCTTTACAAACAATTCATTAAAGCCCAGCTCTCAGGAGTCACATATCACTGTACGTGTTGCCGAAATTTAGTCCTTAAATAGTTATCGTTACCATCAGATGAGATGCATTTCAGCCTGGCCACATTCAGACTACTGGTAAATATTATGACATGTGAATGCCTGATCAAAGATGGCCTGGAGGCAATACATTTGATGGCACCTCAGATGCTCAAGGCCTTAATTTCCAAAACATATTTTAAGTTGATACATCTTAAGAAATCTGGTTTTAAGAGCAGCAACCGACATGCCTCCTAAAAAAACCAAGCCCCACCAAAGTGGAAGAACTTCACACCCAGAATCACAAGCCACAGGCTGGTTTTAACCATGCTGCTCACTCATCGCGCTGCAGCGTACGCTGGACACAGGCAGCACTACCAAAGGAGGCAACAGCCAACTCTGTGCTACAAACCACTAACATCTGCATAGCCCTCAGTCTGGATTTCACAATTAAGTGTTTGTCTTGACTCACGTTTCACAAATTTGTCCTTAAACTATGAACTCAAACAGTGAAAGTTACACATGTCTTCATGAGGGCAGGTCACTGATTCAAGAACAAGGTAGACCTTTACTGCTCCCTCACCCACAACAGCCTCCTCAAAAACACTCTCTGGAGTATCCGAGGACGAATATTGTTTCCTCACAGAATCTTGGACATCCGGAAGACAGATGAGCTAAAACTTTGGGTTGTCAGTAATCAAAATTTACTCAAGACTGGGTGTACTTTCCAAGGGACACAAAAGTCCATCAGAAGAAACAGCACCCAGCCTCTGTGCCAACACTGCTCTGAATTTAACTGGCAACAGGAACATGGCAAACTTTGGTTATTCTGGTCAAACTATATTGAAAAGCAGCCAAAATATTCCTTTTATAGCGTGACTACTAATGTGGATAGTATTTTTAAGTCAATAATTTGTCTCTTTTGAAGTGCTACCATGGGGTAGCATGCATACTGAACAAGTGCTATACACTACATGGTACTTTTTAGCAGTACAAAAAATTCTGGGTTTTCTACACATATTAAGCTTTGCCAAACCACATGTATGCTTCAGACAGTATCTTCAATGACTAAAACAAGTTAGCAGATGCTAGTTCAAGGAACCAGCGTACGCATTTGAAAAGAAGGAAATTTGATTTATTTAATTTAATTAAGCACAGAGAATTATGGAGACAACAGATTAATTCGTTTCCCTCCACACACACAATCTCAATTAATTGTCAAAAAAACTATGAATCACAATGCATCTATTGATAACAACTCCGATTGTGATTATACAAATACAATTAGTACCACAACCAACTTATTCTGGTTCAAAAATACAAATAAAAAAGATGGGCAACGAGAAACAAGAATTCACAGGTTAATCCCAGCAAAGGCAATGATTTATCTGAAAAAGCCTTTAGATACTGCTGAAATATATTTCCTATACTCCAAGTGTGTAACACATATGCATGCACACATTTGCATTTTTTTATCTATGTCCAACACTCTCCCCCTGCCCCCCTCCTTCTCCCAAGACAAATGCACATGCTCAGTAACTCAACAATTCTCCCATTCAGGGGGAAAAAAAAATTAAAAGTAAATATTGCCTTCCTCAATGATATTCATTTCCTCCTCTGAAATATCAAGTCAGGGTTACAAAACAGTACTCTACTTTATGCACTTTTGCTATACTGCGCTGAAAGCACCTGATCTCCTCTAAACTTGGAAGCTAAGCAGACCAGGGCCTGCAAGTAGCTGGATGGGAAAAAAATCACCTGAAAACAGGCAAAAGTCCAAGAGGCATAGTCAGTCATAAGACCAGAAAAACAAAAGTGAGTCAAAAGATTTAATTCAACTCCATTTTAAATGTTAAATTCAAGGACTGGGGAAAAAAAAAAAAAAAAAAAAGAGCAGAACATATTTGTCCAAAGTGGATTAAATTTTTCTTAAGGAATTGTTATATTTTATTAAGTTCGCAACCGTGGTGGAAAAACTGCACACCATCTGCAAAGCACACTTTACAAATCTGCATTTTCTTTATAGACTATGGGATAAACTGAAAGCAAATCTGTAGCCATCACCTCCATCTACACCACCAATGCTACTGCTCTAGTAAGAGCAAGTCCAACCATCTTCGGTGCATAGATGCTCATTACAGCAACTGAGGCTTTGCTAGTGTCTTAATGCTTTCTGAAGCAAAACGTCCTTCATTTTATGAGAAAGAAGGGGAGAAAAAGAAGTGGCAAAACTCTGAAGTATGTTGTGTATGCTCTGTGAACACTGTGTACGCTCAATGAACTCATTCATTTTTAACCTTGCACTGCGTTGTATTAATTGTGCTCTACAGAAAAAGTATGAGACACTCAGAGGAGGTATCACAATCAGTAAGTGAACAGTGAAAAGTAACAGAACATAATAAAAATAAAACGTGTTTGGAGTGCTTCTGTCTGGAGATACCTACCCAAGATGTAAGCACGTATCTCCAG